CAGATCCTTTAGCTGTTGTAGATTTTCCGGGTTGTATGGCTGTGGTCTTGGCATTGTAGGACCTGACGTTTCGCCAGTAGCTGTGACTGGCATCCTCAGATGGAGTACTCTCTGTCAAGATGCTGTTTAAAAGGTGCCCACTAGATAGAGTTGCCAACCTCCCCGGTGATTACCCGGAGTTATAACTGATCTACAGACATCAGTTCCCCTGAAGAAAATGGCTACTTTTTTGGGGGGGGGGGATTCTGGGACACTATATCTACTGAGGTCCCTTCCCACCCCAAAGTGTACCCTCCCTAGGCACCACCCCCAAGTATCCAGAAATTTCCCAACCTGGAGGTGGCAACTTTACCACTGGAGTGCCTTTTAATTGTAATCTGACTTTTGTGAGGATAAAGTAGACAGGGGTGACTTTGTAAACTGCTCAGAAAAGGTGAGGTGGAAATGTATGGCTGGAAGGTAGGGTTGCTAATCTCCAGGTTACACCTGGAGAACTCCCACTATCACAGTTGATATCCAGGCAACCAAGAGCAGTTGCCCTGGAGAGAATGGCTGCTTTGGAAGGTGGACTCCACGGCATTAGACCCTGCTGGGGTCCCTCCCCTCCCCAAACCCCGCCCTCCCCAGGCTCTACCCCCAAAATCTCCAGGTATTTCCCCCCCAGAGCTGGCAACCCTACTGGAAGGAGAGAACTTCTCAGAACTTACTAAAGACCCTGAGATTCTAACTGCAAACCACAACTACGGCCACAGAATTTCAGCCTCTTTTTAAAAGACCCATAGAGCTTAGGAGTTTACCAGAAGTTGTAGTAACACATTTTTTTTTGCACGATCATAGAGGGTAACAAAAATCATTAAACACGCACCAAATTGGGTGGGTCTTGCTAAGGTCACTGTTATGTTGTTCAGGCCATAAAATACAGTGGAAAGGGGGGGAGATAGAATAGGCACCGCTGCTATATTTTTGTCTCACTGCATTAAAAACTCTCCTGTAAATAGAAAACTAGCTCAGCTGGTAGAAGATGAAAGCTTAGGGTGCTTTCTTTTTTCAGGCACCCTGGGAAAGCAGTCAAGACCTGTTAGCTGCCACAGTCCCCATACTTAAGATCCCATGGGGTGGAATGGAATCTGCAGCCCTATATTAACTAGCAATTATTATTTCTCTCTCCCCTTGTCAATCAGATTGCCAGCAACTGACCGAGCACCAGAGGTGGACTAGGGCAGACTTGAAGCAGAGCCCCTAATCCATTTCAGAGCATCTTCCTGGCCAGAAACCACCTCCACCACCTGAACCTAAAAAAATAAACAGACTGGAGTGTACCGCAAACTGAGCTGGTGCATTCTAGAATTGTGCGTACCCTACAATATCCCAGGCTTGTCTCACTAGCCTAGCTATGCTCCTTACTAGGCAGAGACTAAAGACTTGCCTCCTCATTTTGGAGTCAACAATCCGTCTGTTATCAGAGGGGGGAAGAATCCATTCCTGGTTCCAGCTATGGTGATCAGGAAGATAAAGGGGCAGAGTTTGCTGAACTCTGGCACTTGTTCACCTAGCACGGAGTTTCAGTCATCAGGCTGCTGCACAGTTGGCCCATAATGCTGAATTTCAGAACTAGATTGGTAGGGTGCGGGGTATTTTTTGCCTCCTACACTGTCCCACAGACGTATCTGGGAAAAACGTATCCCTCCAGTTCTAAGCTGTTAATGAGTCAGTTGGATCAATCCCCACCATGCCTTGAATCTCCCCGCATCTGGCCACTCAACTGCCTTCAGTGCTGTGCTGTGTGCCTCCTGAAATGTAAATGGCATGCCTGGCCATTTTAGGGTTTATTTTCTTATTTACCAAAGAATGTTCATCTACCTGGGTACTGCTGCCCCGCCACACCCCACCGGTATCCAATTATCCTTACTTTGTCTGTAGGTAATCTCTTTCACTACTTGGCTGATAGGCGCAAGACCATCACTTGCTGTTATATCATCATTCTTGCTGTTAGGAATGATGCTAACAGCCAGCAAACCCTCCCTGCCTACAAGAACACACACAGTGATCCTTTAGGATAGATTCAGGTGGGTAGCCGTGTTGGTCTGAAGCAACAGAACAAAGTTTGAGTCCAGGGGCACCTTTAAGGCCAACAAAGATTCTGGGTATCGGCTTTCGTGTGCATGCAGAACCTATATGCCGACACAACCTTGAATAGCTTGTTAGCCTGAGATTTGTCAAGGGCATTGGTTCCATAAGGCAATCTGAAGGAAGCATCTGGTTATTTGAAACGGCCTGCATATCTGGATTGGGGCCGTTGGTCGCAGTGCTGCATGAGCTCCATGAAGATAACAACCAGTTGTAAAATTAACAAGGGGTTTGCTTTACTATATTGAAGGAAACAACTTGCTGTGAAATTTATCAGAGATTTTTCACTTTGATATGCAATGTATAAAAATATTGCTGCATGAGTTCCATGGAGAAAACAACCTGTTGTGAAATTAACAAGGGGTTTGACATTTGAAGAATCGCTGTGAAATTAACAAGAGACTTTTCACTGATGTGTGATGGGAGCCAATGTTCCCTCTAAGCTGTGGAGTCTTGTGAGCAAAAATTCTACTTTGTGAGCTACTGGCATTAAAGCTGTGAGTGAGCGAGTTGGCTGCTGCATAAATCAGTTTGCTTTGGAGCCCTCCTTCCTGAGCTGAGACAGAAATGTGTGAGCCGGAGGTGAAAAAACTATGAGCTAGCTCACACTAACTCAGCTTAGAGGGAACACTGGATGGGACTGTATGAATATAATTTATGAAATATTGGAAGTAGATAATTAGTTTGTGTCTATAACTAAGCATTACAGTGTTGTGGTTTTTGCCTATTGCACACTGTAGGTCCTGGTGTGTTGTTTACTGCTTGAAGACCGTCAGTGAAGGGGAGCTCACCAGCTCCCTAGGCAGCCAATTTCACTGCTGAACTACTGTAAAAAATTCTCCTAATATTCAGCCGGTTCTTTTCTGCCCATAATTTAAACCCATTCTTGTGAGCTCTCTCCTCTGCTGCCAACAGGAACAGCTCCCTGCCCTCCTCTAAACGACAACCTTTCAGATCCTTCAAGAGAGCAACTATGTCTCCCCTCAACCTCCTCCTCTCCAGACTAAACATTCCCAAATCCCTCAGCCTTTCCTAACAGGTCTTCAAGCCCCCCATCACCCTCATCACTCTCCTCCACACCCGCTCCATTCTGTCCACATCCTTTCTGAAGTGAGGCCCCCCAAAACTGCACACAGTAATCCAGATGCGGCCTGACCAATGCAGCGCACAGTGGGACTATGACAACTTGTGATTTGGATGTTATGCCTCTGTTGATGCACCCCCAGAGTCCAATGTTCCCTCTAATCTGTGGAGTCCTGTGAGCAAAAATTCTTTGTGAGCCCCTGGCATTAAAGTTGTGAGCCAGCGATTTGGCTACTGCATAAATTAGTTTGCTCTGGAGCCCTCCTTCCTGAGCTGAGACAAAAATGTGTGAGCCAGAGGCTAAAAAACTGTGAGCTAGCTCACACCAACTCAGCTTAGAGGGAACACTGCCCCAGACCACATTATCCTTTTTTTTGCCACTGCATCACACTGCTCACATTTAGTTTACAGCCCACCCACACCCAGTGCATCAGATCATGTTCACACACACTGCTACCCAGAAGTGTATCCCCCCCATCCAGTATGCCTGCTTTCCACTTTTGTTACCAAGATGCAGAACTCCACACTTGGCCTTGTTGGACTGCATTTTCACATCCACCCATTTTTCCCCATTGAATTCTCTCTCTCTCTCTTCCAGAGTTTTTGCTACTCCTCTCAATTTGGTATTTTCTGCAAATTTAATGGAACGGTCCCTCCGCACCCTCATCCAGATCATTTATAAAATTCTGAGAAGTACCGGGCCCAGAACTGAGCCCTGTGGCACCCCACTGGACACCTCCCTCCATTCAGATGAAATGCCACTGACAACTACTCTCTCTGTGTGGTTCTCCAACCAGTTCCCTAGCCACCAAATGATCCTACAGTCCAGTCCACAGTCCTCCAGTTTACCATCAGAACATCATGGGGAACCCTAACAAAAGCTTCACTGAAATCCAGGTAGACAACACTAATGGTGTTCTCATGATCCAATAAGCCCGTCACCCGATCAAAGTATCATGTTTCAAGTAACTGTTGCCCTTTATTCTTTAAGGGAAGGCTTTTTAAATTAAAGGACAGTGACAAACCTTGTGACCGCTCCGTTTTTGGGATCAGTGCTACCTTAAGAGGATGATACTGTGCAAAGTGTAGTGTTTAATTCTGACCTTCCCTCCCATTAGTTTCTCTTTCAGTGCACTTAAAAGTTATGAGGTAACAAAGTAATTCCAAAGCAGCTGAGCTGGTTTGTCTGAGGTTGAGGTACAGCAATAGAGAGCCCTCTGGACGACATGGCACTGATGCTGTCATTTTAAGGGTCTGATTTTGTTGTTATTCAGTCGCACAGTCGAGTCTGACTCTTCGCAGCCCCATGGACCACATCACGCCAGGCCCTCCTGTCTTCCGCCGTCCTCCAGAGGTTGCTCAACTTCATGTTCGTTGCATCTATGACACTGTCTAACCATCTCATCCTTTGCCGTACCCGTCTTCTTTGACCTTCAATCTTTCCCGGCATCAGGACCTTCTCCAGTGAGTGCTCCCTTCTCATTTGGTGGCCAAAGGATTTGAGCTTCAGCTTCAGTATCTGGCCTTCCAGGGAACAGTCAGGGTTGATTTCTTTTAGGGTTGACTGATTCGATCTCCTTGCAGTCCAAGGGTCCCCCAAGGGTCTTCTCCAGCACCATAATTCAAAAGCATCTATTCTTCGGGGCTCGGCTTTCCTCAAGGTCCAGCTCTCACAGCCATACATTACCTGTCTGAAGGCAGATATTTACACAGAGCGACCACCCCACCCCCCAGAACTACATTTTTACACGCTCCAAATCCAGAAGTTATATGAACCATTTTTGCAACAGGGTATTATGTTTAATCACGGCAGTTATGATACATGCATCTTCCCATGTGTTACTGCTAAGAGAGAAACTTTTTGAATAGAAAAATTTACTGAAAGAAGGAGGGGTGGGAGAATACAAGCCTCAAACAGCAGGGCACGCAACCACCTACTGTGCAGAACCACAGGTCACCCTTCGCTCCCCTCCTTTGAATAACAGCTCGAATGCACTACACTGGCCTGTTTGGAAACAGATGGTCTAACTTCTTCCTTGTCTAAGCCTCCATAGGGTTCTGGTGGCTGTGACAGGCGTTTTATTTAGACTGTTGGAAACAGAAGCAACATACAACAAATGAAACCCAAAACAAAACCCCAGATCAGTTTTTTTAAAACGATACAACCCCCATCTTCTGCCGACTCTTCCCCCATTTCACACACTCTGCCGTTACATTTTCTCCTCGATAATAAACGCTACAATGAGTTATAACTGAAGTTGGAGGAACTGGAATCGCTGCCGCTGTATCACATTCAGAAAAAAAACCCAAAAGGCAGCGGTTGCCGGAAGACGGCAAAACCCGCTGCCGTCCGACTCGCCCCGCTCTCTTCAAAGTCAACCAGCTCCGATGCGTTCTCGTCAATGACTGCCCATCTCTGCCTTGGGTACAGTGTGCACCCAGGGAGGCCGCTGCATGCCGTTGCTTTCTTGATTTTCGTCTCAAAATGTCCGTGTGTTGCAGTCGGCAGCCGCGAACCTCAGGCCTTGACTTCGGGGGTCGTGCTGTAGATGGTGTCTGAATTTTCAGAGCCGAGCTCTTCTGCGAGTGAAGGAAGATGGAGTTACTTTTGAGGAGACACTCGGATAACCATCTCTGGGAGAAGGATCAAGTTAGTAATACAACCCAGGTCAACTTTATACAAGTGTTCAACTGAACTATTAAAACGTCCAATTTTTTTTTTTACATCATCTGCGCTGAAAAGTTAAATGACACATTTCTTTTTAAGTGCGGCCCAATCTTGTTCTTGGCTGTAACAAAGCCGCTGTTTGAAGGGCACCAGCACCCAGCACAAGGGAAATCACCCCTTTGAATAGTAAGGAAACCGTCTGACTGTTGGCAGCTCTCCAAGGAACAGCCAGTGGCTTGTATGTCACCCCTGCTCCACCCTGTCACAGAGCTACAGCATCAAAGCTACTGCTGCGGGATCCGGCCCCCTGGACCCCAGCTCCGGCAGGAGCACTGGGCATTTCAGACTGGGTCTTTGTGCTCAGCTCCCTCTACTGGTCAAACTCAGGTGGAGCAGTTCATTACCTAGTTCTTCTTCCGCAGTTCCCGGAAGGCTGACCTTTGGTTTCACCAGCTCTCCGCCTTCGTCTTCTGTGGACAAAGAACAGCCAGGCTTTACTATAGAAGGCTTTTAAAAAGGTCACTGTGGACCTGGAGAAGGACTCCTCGGTGCCCTGCTGGGCAACTTCCCAATGCTGCCTTTATGTACTT